GTTCTAGTTCACTCTTCAGGCCAGGCCTTAGTCTCCATATCCGTTTCCATTAACGTCGAACCATTTTAATATTTAAAATATCATTCGCAAAGAGAAAATAGCGCAGGCCAGAATTTTACGAGCGGGATGAATAATTCAGCAGGAGACAATAATAATAGTTAGGATATGTCTTGCGCAAGCTCTCGACTGAAGCCAGGCAGGAGGCAGTCCCGTTGGCTTAAATGCTTTGCATGTGAAAATCCCTTGAAAACACATACGTTCACTCAGGAGGAGTTGAGCGGGTGCAGGGAGAGGGGAAGATATTGACGACACTCGCATGGACTTGGACTGAGCCCAGAGTGAAGCAGGATTTGAACGAGGTGGCAGTTAAGAGTCGAGACTGGCACGAGGAGCCGCTGCAAGGCGGCATTTAATATGCAAATTAAAGTGCAGCCAGGTGAGCAGTTGAAACCAGACCAGACCAGACCAGACCACGACTCAAGTGCGAGTTGCGCGAATGTTAATTTTCTGGCTCAAGTTGAAGGAGCCCAGAAGTGCGCAAAGTCTTTTATTCAGCCCAAACTTTAACTCGCTTGAGCGAGCGACTACGCATTTGGCGAATGTTGCGATGTTGCGTATACGCCACGTGCGCCCAAGCACAGCTTAAGCCAAGATGTGTGCATATATGTGTGTGTGAGCTGTGTGGGTGTGTGTTGGAGTGAGAGCCATAAATTTTGCTGGCTGAGGCACGTCGAAATTCAAATTTACTTCGTTGGCGCAGAAATCATTCGTACGACTATCGCCAGCTGGCCAAAGCCAAAGCCAGCGGATAAACTCAGAGGAGAGACCACAAATATTCCCGTCAGGCTGTTGCCAGTTGCCTGATTCCAGCTGCCTCTTGTTGTATTTTATTTGATGAAATGCAAATTTATAAGCAGAAAGTTGAATTGAGTTACAGGAAAACACGAAGCAGAGGAAAACAAAAACATCATCATAAATATGACAGAGCCGGCAGCCACAAGAACAATTGATATGCATGAGTCTCTCCAGCGATAGCCGAGTTTAAGCCCAAATGCTTGACTCTAAATGTGGAATATAAAAGTAGGGATAACTAAAGAAGGAATAACATTTCTCAAGCACGACAAAGTTTAGTTTAATATTTAATATTATGTGACACAGGTAAAACGTCTTACTCTTTTATTAATTGTAATTTGAAATTATTTATGTACTTTAATTAGACGCTTTCCTTAAGCCTCTCTCAACTAATGCTTCTCACATTGTTGAACTACTTAAAAATGCCACAAAGCAGAAAGTTAATTTCCAGAGCGATGGCCAGACAGAGTTGGGTCCCTGACCCCGAGGGCCAAGCAAACCCCGCCCGCCGTCTGGGAAGCTGCTTATAATATCCCAAGAGTGTAAAAGTGACGACAATGAGTCTCGGCTACATTGTAAAACATGACTGAGGCTCACCTCTTGACTCTCGTGCACAGCCAAAATGTCATTGACTAGGGGATGCCCTCTCTTTGCATGAAACATGAGGTTATCTGAGTATTATTATGAATCAGAGTAAGGCATATTAATTATGCGCACAGCTCTATTATCAGGTTCTGAATGTGCTGTGTCTTCAATAGGACTGAAAGTCATCTCGCCAACCTGTTGGGTCTTCTTATCTGGTATCTGCTTATCATGCGGCAAATCCGTTTATTGTATGCCCTTCTGTCCCCTTCTGTCAAGGGGCAACGCCAATGCCAACGCCTTTGACAATCCGCAACAGAGAGGAAGACTTTCGCACAATGGGCATAAATGCAATACAATCTGTTATGCGAATGTGAAAAGTATAAGCGAAAGCTTTTCATATTCAACCTGACACTGAGAAATGATTTCAATTTCTCACCTCGCCCCCCCCAGGAGTCCACCCCCTGAACATGGAAATCCAATTGATGCTGAGACGTTCCTTGAGAGCAACTCACACTTTTTCCCTTCTTAACCTGATTTCTTTCACTCTCTATCGCACTCTCTTTCCCTCTGCCAGTTGCGTACCTGCCAATTGCCCCCTAGGAGTGGAAGGCGGAAGGTGGGTGAGCTCCTGTGATTCTGTTTGCTATTGGTTTCAGGGATTTTGGCTTTCCGTCAGCTACTGGAAATGAATTGTATTTTTCGTTTCAAATTCACATCAGTTTAGAAATCTGGTTTTCCGCTTCCCGATTGCCGCTCGTTAGAGAGTGGGTTGGTGGGCTAGTGGTGTCGAGCACTTAGTGCTGGTGGGGTGGGGCAGTGGGAAAACATGTTTGGGAGTTGTTTTTCCTTCATGAGGAAGCGCAGAGCAACTGTGTGGCAAATTGTTTTGCAGTTTAAATCGCTTGCTATCAATCCCCAAATTGCCGGCTGTTAAAATGATAAACGCTCCATTGGGCTGATAGACTTCTTTTCAGTCGCATCCACCTGGGCTGGTACTCAGTGCAAGAGAATAGATGCCAGTGCAACGTTGTTGTGGTTAGGGAAGGTATTTCGGACTCCCACTTAATGGCTTCATTCAGCTCGTTGCAGATGGAGCAGTTCAATTCAGATTCAGCTGAGAAACAGAAATCCAATACCTGAATTTCACACACGTTCCTGATTAATTTAGAGTATATTTCAATATACACGGATCATTAATTTACAAGGCTGATTGGTAAATTTAGTTGAACCAGAGAGTGAATGTAAACAATGATGAAGAATGCACAGAAAATCTTGTGGCTGACTGAGTTATTTATGGAATATAGAATATGGAATATCTAGCGAATTTCTGGTCTCTGTTCAGGCAACAGCTAAAGTCAACAGTCAATGTGCGCACCAAATTAATTCTGTTTATATCAGCATATAAGAAATTGGAATGCCAAATGGAATAAATTCTTATTTCTAGAACGCAATTTGAATGTGAAACATTTGCTTAATGTACTCAGAAACAGTTCACTAAATATTTTGAAATTTTCCTATATATGTGAATTTTTATCTGCAAATTGACTAGAATGACTCCCAAAGGCTCATCTCGAAGCGGGACTTGTCAAATTCTCTGGCGCATTATCTCTTTTTTTTTTCTACTCTCAGTTTGTTTGCTCCTCAATTTGCGTTGCCAGCAGCAACAAAGCGAATTGTTGAATTGTTGGATTGCTGATTTGCTGAATTGTCAGTCGTGCAAATGTTTATCGTTGACTGCTGCGGGCTGTTTATTCTTATGTTTACTTGAGTGTTGACTTTCCATTTAAATGTGGCGCGCAAAGCAACAAAAACAGCAACTAATGCCCAGTGCCCAATGCCCAATTGGCTAATTGATGTGTGCACTGAGAGCAAAGGACAAAGATAAACATTTCAAGCTTCATCTTTAAATCACAGCATTCAAAAGGAATGGCAATGCCTAGACTGCCAGCCGTGTCCCACATACAATTCCGCTGATTGACAGAATGGCAGAGTGACAAACCGACACTCTGACACTCTGACAGTCACACAAGGCACGAGTGTCCCATTGTGTCGCCTGCTGCAGAAGCAGCTCCGTCTCGAGGCTGACACTGAGCAATGTGCGCAAGTGTCGGGCCAACCCGACTCGCCTGTCCTTTGGGTATGCAATGCAAATGTCTTTCCTCTGTCGCATCTCCTAGAGTAGACGACATCATCATTACGCATCATCCCAACACATTTGGCACGCCAACGAAGCAACGCCAGCCTCAGATAGAGCTGCTGTGCTTCAGCAATTTGAAAGTCTAGGAGACATAGAAGAGCAGGAGGATCCATTTGTTTCTTTTCTGGTTGAGGAAGAGATTGAACCACGAAATGACAGTGAGAACAGGCAACTATCAGGCAAATCTGAATCGTGGCACGGAACACGTTTCGCCAGGTTGTGTGTTAATGATGATGACAGCGGAGGGTGCTTTCCTCCTTGTATTGCTTATGTTTTTGTTGTTGTTGTTGCTCAGCAACAACTACTTGGCCATCTTGACACTTTCAGCGCTCGGCTGTGGCCATATCTACGTAGACATATGTCACTCCAGGCTGCGTCTCTCTTTGTCTGCCACTCGCGTGGCTCTCAGTGCCACAAGCGTAGAAAGACAACCGCAGAAGGCGACACGTGTTTGTCAGCATGTCAAGCGGTCGAGTGCACAGCAGGAGTGTGAAATATACAAAGATATAATAATGTATTATATGCATAGAGAATGCGGCATGTGGATGTTCCAGATGTTCTTTGAAATATGTTAACAAATTGTCTGAAATATCTTGGTTTGTTGATTGGTTGCTTTGATGCGGTTCATGATTTTATTTTGTCAAATAATGGAAAGCTTTTTTGAATAAGTGGAAAAATCTTTGCTGTTGCTCCTATTATTTATAATTGCTGTTTAATATTTACGTTGGGTAAACTTGTCACATGCTTTGACATTTATTAAATTTGCTGGACTTTATTGCACTTCTGATGCACAGTAAATGACAAGCAGAAAAAAGAGTATACAAATGCATATATTTTTTGCTGACTATTGAAAGCTGTGTAGCTTAATATTTTATTTTATTTGGCATTTTTTGGGAATGAAACGGAATGCTGGGTGCTGATAGAATTTTTTTTATTTTTTACGAATCTGGCTCCCAGAATGCAAATTAGACGAATGCAAATTTTTTGCCTACCAAGGCAGATAGGCAAATTCATATTTTCCAGTGGGCAGCCGAAAAAATCAAATATTAGAGTGAAAATTAAAATTTCAGCATAAATAAACAATACAATTTCCAGTAATTGAATAGCTCATAGAGTTGTTTACTTTCGTTTTGTAAAGAGATTGTTACATAAATAAATATTAAACTCGCGTTTTATTTTATATTTTAAATTGTGAATAAAAAAATATATAAAAGTGTCAAGGATGCTAAGAAAATAATATAACTAAAAATATATTTTATATTTTATTTGTAACTTTAATTTGAAGTGTTTTCCTTTCATATATTTATCTTCTTGCATTAATATTCTTACAATAATATTTTGATATTTCTATTTCTTCTATTTACAGTTTTGTGTTCATTTGAAGCCCTAAGCACCTCATAGGTGTTAAATTTGTTTTGATTGAACTGCGCAAACTCCGGAAACGTCAAACGCCAATCGAAGCTGCGCTGCTTCAGTCGCTGCCTCTGCCACTGCCACTGCCACTGCCACTGCCGGTGCCGCTGCCTTTGCCTTTGCCAATGAATGCTCACTCGAACGTTTTCCCGTTAGCCAAGTCCTCAGTTATTTAGCGGCTTTTGTGCGCAACACAACTGAACGGAACGACGTGTTGTCGAACTGTTTAACGTAACGAGCAATGCGTTTAACGTAAGCAAAGCAACAACAACAACAACGGCAGCAACAACCGATACAACAATATCAAATAACTATCCGGCATTATAACGAGTGTTTGCCCCTGTGTCAAGGGAGCGTAAAAATAGAAAAAAATCGAAGTGAGGCAATAAATAAAAAGCCAACGACCCCCGTGTGTGAGCGTGTGTGTGTGATTGAATGTGTGTGTGTCTGTGTGTGAGTGTGTGCATTGGTATAGTTATGTGTGTTTACCGAATACATAGAAAAACAAAAGAACCAATAACTTGTTGTGTTAGCCATGTGCTAGATCAATTAGCAGAGGATTACATACCCTAGCAATTTCATTGATCCGATTATGTTGCAATGCAAACAAAAGATTTAAGCAAACAGCTATGAAACATAAAAATATAATAGCAACAGAGAGGGCTGCAAATGAAATCAAATTAAATAAGTTTAATTAAAAACTAAATATGAATATTGAAATGAGTTTTTGCATATACTAATATACTACAAGAGAATAAACTTATTAGCCAAGTGGTTTTAAGGCTTGAATTGAAAAGATTTAGCCAACTTAATTTATCTATTGTTATTTTCTTCTTTAGTTTTTCTTATAATATAATTCATCTTAGCCCACACACACATATAAATGCATATGTATATGTATATCAATATAAATGAATGCAAATATGATAATTGCGTGGTTTGTTGCTGGAGTCGTGAATATTTAATGCTTTCGCGTGGCTTTCTCCCAGTTGACATCCTGTGAATGCAATTCAACTGTCGAAATGGTCGCAACGGTCGCACATTATAACGGTTTTTCACCCACAATTATGCGCATATGAATTTAACCTCCTTTTCGAATCTGTCTCTGTGTGTGTGTATGGGTGTGTGTGTGTGTATGGGTGTGCGTGTGTGTTAGTGCGCGTTTTACACAGCGTATGCATTTTTTAATTAAATGCTAAAATAACTCAGCTGTTAAAGGTTGCAACAGTGGTGTTTGTTGCTCTGACTCCTAATTAAGTTCTATGAGTGTATATGTGTGTGTGTGTGCGTGCATGTGTGTACTTTTAAATGTGCGCAAGCTATATTTAAATTTATATTCGCTCTTGCAGCACGTTGATTCCATAAACAAGTGTGTATACCGTTCACAGTGAAAACACAATTCAAACATAAGGAAAAAAAAACTTTTAATATAAACAAAATATCAGAAAAATAAAATAAAAATAAAATACAAAAATCAGCGCACTTCAACAACAACAAGTGAGTATTTTTTTATTATCATTTGCCGTTATTTTTGGCACAATGAGTCATGCAGTTTGAGGAGCGAGCGCATGAGCTACTTTTAATTAATGAAATGTCTTTTTATTATAAATATTTTTAATCAGAAATGATGTATGATAACATTTAAAATAAATTTTCTATCAAAACTAAATTTTTTAAGTTAAAAGGGGAAAACGAAACATTTATGCATATAAATACATATGTAAGTTACATATGTATATCAAATAATTTACTTATAAAAACAAAGTATCATGAATTACTTATGCATTCATCTATTTATATTTGATATAAAACAAAAGCTCTAATTTCTCATTTCCCACTTCTTCCACTGACTTTATTAATTCAAGGACTAAAACGAGACATTGACATTATTCATTAAGCTTGTTGATTCGATTTACATGTGTTTCTATTAAGTTGACAAGCTCCTCTACGTCATGCATATAGCTATCAAATGCAGATAAGGCCTGTCGCATTAAATAGCCATGCAATGCACTGAATGAGCGCAAACTAAGTGGAGGTGATTACGCTTGATCAGCTCAAGGAATTTGTCGCTTATATCCTGAAAATCAATCAACATTTGCAGCTGTCGCAAATTTGTATTGAAAGCAATTCATTTACTAGCACTTGCCATATGAATCAATATGCAAATCTCGATGTGTACGCAGGCTGCCGAGCTCCCTTTTCCTATCGCCTTCGCCCTCACGCTCTCTCTCGCACTCACTCTCTTGCCCTCTCTCTTTACCTTTGCCCATCTTGTGTGCCAGTTGGACTGCCAGGCTGCCAATCTGTTCGCCTGTCATTCAACCTTTAAGCCAACCACCCACATGGCCAACATGGCGTTCCGTTGCGTTCCGCTCAGTCCGACAGTTGGCATTTTGGCATATTTAATTATCTGCCAATTCATCAGCGCGTGGGACTTAAAAGTATATTGTTTGCTTGTCTTTGCTACATCCAAACAACATAAAAAGAAACAACAAAGAGGGAAAAGAGCACACATAGCTGTTATTATAACAAAGACCTACAAAGCCAAACAAAATACAAAAAAATACGGCAGCAGCAACAACAGTAAACAGCTGCAGGAATGTTATCCTCGCAGCAGGAAAGCCAGGCAGGGTCTGTGGCCACGCCCACAAAGTGCTGCCAAAATAGCAATTGCTGAGTTCAGCTAAAGCCACGTAACATTACATTAAAACCGAGCCGCATATTACGTATACGCAACGTGTGCACCCAAAATTAGCAGCCATCACAATTTCAGTTTTGCAGTGTGTTCGTGACCTGCCCATGTATGTGCAAGGCCGTGTGTGAGACTGTGTGCGTGATGCTTATCTGCCATCAATATAATTGCCGGGGCACTTCTGTGGCACTCGAATCGCGTGTTGTCCATTTGCGGTCACTCAGCACGTTGTTGCATGAAATTGTAGCTGTGTGCTGCCCTCACGGTCTATGCAGAGCATAATTACACACACACTAGGAGCTAATAAAGAAAACATTTGCTCAAATATATATTAGATTTTATTATATTGTATGAGCCTCACATAAAAAGCCTCAAAATGGCAGCTCAACATTTGCGGACAGGCCAATGAAAATAATTTGATTACATTGAATTAGCTGCTGTGATGTGCCTTTAACAAGTATTTCATATCTTAAACAGGCTCTAAAAGCTTCTCTCAGTCCAATATATATCACAAGTTGGTTAACTTATTATTATTATAAGACAACATAAATGAACTTGGGTTGAAAAAATGCACATAGTTGCCTTTGAAAAGCTATTCATACCAACAAAACCCCTCGTGTATAACAAAGCAACGCTGGCGAGCCCATATCAAGCCATTCGAGCGTGAGCATGAACTATCTGCGACAATTTGTTAACATATTTCAAGGAACATCTGGAACATCCACATGCCGTATTCTCTATGCATATAATACATTACTTTATCTCTGTATATTTTACACTCCCGCTGTGCACTCGACCGCTTGACATGCTGACAAACACGTGTCGGCTCCTGCGGTTGTCTCTCTTCACATGCGGACAGGCACCTTAATCCGAGTCGTCGACAATGAGAGACGCAGCTCGGAGTGACATATGTCCACAAGAGTGCTGTCAGCTTAGCCAATTTCAGGCTAAATCCAGCCATGCATCGAAAATGAGTATGGGATGGAATAGCCATAAATTGAGACAGACGATGCGGAAGTCCTTAAGAGAACTATAAAGCGAGAGAAACTTCTGTCTATGTTATCTAATAAATAAAAATATTAGTGTGCAAAAGCTAAACAAACATATCAATATTTACGATACCTTATCAAACATATCCGATTTAAGTATGCATATTTACTTGCCTATCTGTTCGTATATCTCTCTCTGTATGTCTCCCTATCCATCTCACAGTTTATCTTACTCTCTGTCAAAGCAAAGGGCGAAGAAGAACCTTACACGATCTATATGTATGCAGCAGTATTAATTCGTTATTTATATTTATGTAAAACGAGGCTAGAATGCTTGAAGAGTCAGAGGGTGCTCTCATTGGTCAGTTAAAGTTCGACTGTAACGATCTCTACCTGGCACCGGGCTCAACACTTGAGCGCGACTTAATGTGAGTGAAAGTAGCCCTATATAAAGAGCAGCAGGTGCAGCATTTCTTCAGTTGTTCCTGGCCTGTTGGGGGTCAATCGTGAGGTGCAGTAAAGTAAAGTGAAAGCAGACTGAGCATTAAAGGGGGAATACTTGGAGGAAGTATATGAAGGAAATACTAAGAGGAAATATTTGGAGCACATACTAATTTCTTAGAGTAAATACAGAAAATACTTGGAAATACTTCGGCAAGATTCTATGAAGAAATTCTTAGAAGAAATATTTAAAGGAAAATACGAGCCTACTCTTACGTCTGTCGATTGTTTTGGTGTGAAAATTACTTTATCCAATGGAATTGGCGAAATTGATACGGGTAAATATTGTGTTACAAATTATGCAAAAAAAATGTTGTTTTTTTTTTTAATTTTGATGAAAAAAGAAGACACAGTAAATAATTAAAAAAAAATATATAATAATAATAATATAGCAATTTTCCTAATCTATAATTTAACTCGCTATTCCAGCATTTTTTCCAACACTTTAGCCACTTTTAGCCTACTATTATCCACATCTTCAACAGCTGGCAACACTGGTTTATGTATGTCTTGATATGGCCACAGCCGAGCGCTGAAAACCTCTAGTTGGCCAAGTAGTTGTTGCCTTCTACAACAACAACAAAAACATAAGCAATACAAAGAGGAAAGCGCCCTCCGCTGTCATCATCATTAACACACAACCTGGCGAAACGTGTTCCGTGCCACGATTCAGATTTGCCTGATAGTTGCCTGTTATCACTGCCATTTCGTGGTTCAATCTCTTGCTCAACTAAAAAAGAAACAAATGGATCCTCCAGCTCTTCTATGTCTCTTAGATTTTCAAATTGCTGAAGCACAGCTGATCTATATGAGGCTGGCGGTGCTTCGTGTTGTGGTGATGCGTAATGATGATGTCGTCCACTCTAGGAGGTGGGTGGTGGAAAGACATTTGCATTGCATACCCAAAGGACAGACGAGTCGGATTGGCCCGACACTTGCGCACATTGCTCAGTGTCAGCCTCGAGACGGAGCTGCTTTTGCAGCAGGCGACACAATGGGACACTCGTGCCTTGTGTGACTGTCAGAGTGTCAGAGTGTCCGTTTGTCACTCTGTCATTCTGTCATTCTGTCAGTCAGCGGAATTGTATGTGGGACACGGCTGGCAGTCTAGGCATTGCCATTGCTTTTGAATGCTGTGATTTAAAGATGAAGCTTGAAATGTTTATCTTTGTCCTTTGCTCTCAGTGCACACATCAATTAGCCAATTGGGCATTGGGCAGTGGGCATTAGTTGCTGTTTTTGTTGCTTTGCACGCCACATTCAAATGGAAAGTCAACACTCAAGTAAACATAAGAATAAACAGCCCGCAGTAGTCAACGATAAACATTTGCACGACTGACAATTCAGCAAATCAGCAATTCAACAATTCAACAATTCGCTTTGTTGCTGCTGGCAACGCAAATTGAGGAGCAAACAAACTGAGAGTAGAAAAAAAAAGATAGTGCGCCAGAGAATTTGACAAGTCCCGCTTCGAGATGAGCCTTTGGGAGTCATTCTAGTCAATTTGCAGATAAAAATTCACATATATAGGAAAATTTCAAAATATTTAGTGAACTGTTTCTGAGTACATTAAGCAAATGTTTCACATTCAAATTGCGTTCTAGAAATAAGAATTTATTCCATTTGGCATTCCAATTTCTTATATGCTGATATAAACAGAATTAATTTGTTGCGCACATTGACTGTTGACTTAAACTGTTGCCTGAAAAGAGACCAGAAATTCGCTAGATATTCCATATTCCATAAATAACTCAGTCAGCCACAAGATTTTCTGTGCATTCTTCATCATTGTTTACATTCACTCTCTGGTTCAACTAAATTTACCAATCAGCCTTGTAAATTAATGATCCGTGTATATTGAAATATACTCTAAATTAATCAGGAACGTGTGTGAAATTCAGGTATTGGGTATTTCTATTTCTCAGCTGAATCTGAATTGAACTGCTCCATCTGCAACGAGCTGAATGAAGCCATTAAGTGGGAGTCCGAAATACCTTCCCTAACCACAACAACGTTGTACTGGCTTCTATTCTCTTGCACTGAGTACCAGCCCAGGTGGATGCGACTGAAAAGAAGTCTATCAGCCCAATGGAGCGTTTATCATTTTAACAGCCGGCAATTTGGGGATTGATAGCAAGCGATTTAAACTGCAAAACAATTTGCCACACAGTTGCTCTGCGCTTCCTCATGAAGGAAAAACAACTCCCAAACATGTTTTCCCACTGCCCCACCCCACCAGCACTAAGTGCTCGACACCACTAGCCCACCAACCCACCAACCCACTCCCTAACGAGCGGCAATCGGAAAGCGGAAAA